TGCCATACAATCCGAGATTGTTCATATCGACACACCTAGTTGTTTAATCCATTTCGATAATTGTATTTTTTTTTATCTAGAGTGTAACACGCTTTAGGGTATTTTTCGAGTTTCATCTATTTCTAATTTTGGCTACCAACAATAAAGTTTCAAGTCTTCTCTAGAGTTTGCATTGTATTTTTTTTTTTAACACACTCATAATCGTATTAAACACATTGTTAAAGATTTTTTTTTTTAATGTGCATCACATCCAAATTATGTTGAATTAAATTGAAACTCCAATAAGGAAGTTCCGATAATATACTATGTTTTTTTCAACCACAAACTCTAGATATATTGTTGTTACACTCTTTGAAGCCCTCTTTCGTGATTTTCAACAATCCCTAATTTTGTATGTCATGCAAAATTTATATTCCAAACATGATCGGGAGCAATGTCTAGATCAACCGAATTTCACTTGAACGCATTCCTCGTTCCTTCTAAAATGATGACTTTGTGGTAGAAACTTATGGTGATAATCAAACCGGAAAGTCTTTCTCGCCATTACAAAGACTAAAAGCATCATATTTTTTCATGCAATATGGGCATGTTCTTTTACCCGTAGTACTCCAACTCGACAACATCAAATATGCAAGAAAGTCGTTGATTATCCACATGACTATGGCTCACATATGAAAATTCTCCTTACAGGACACATCATAATTAAGCACACCAACTTTCCACAATTCAACTAACTCTTTAATTCAAGCTATAAGTATGCATCTAGTTTGATCTTTGGGTTTTTAGGTCCCGGGACAATTATAATTAAGAACATATATTCTTCTTTCATACTCTTCCATGGTGGAAAATTATAAAGCATTAAAATCACAAGCCAAGAAGAATATTGTTGTCCAGATTGACCGAAAGGTCGAAATCCATCAATGCAAACTCTCAATTTTACATTCTTAATTTCGATGCAAAAGAAGGATGTGTTTGATCGAATTGTCACCATACAAAGGAGTCGAACAATGACTCATGACGTCCGCCTCAACTACATGTTCGATATGCCACATCATGTCACCATATGTGGTGATCGATGCATACATCCTCCGTAATCACGGGGTTAGTGAAAAATAATATATTTTTTTATATGGGACATATGTTTCTCTAATTGATACCCTCCTAGGACTTCAATATTGAGAATTTTTACGGATTTTACAAGTGATCATCTCGCTGTCTTCACCCTAATAAATCATGTAACCATTTATACAACTATGGATCTATTAAACTAGTAAACTCATCATTTCTATCAATTTTTTTATACTCGTAAAAGTCTTCCGGCATGTAGTTATTGACATGCATCAACTCTTTTATAAGTTGACATAAGTCATCGTAACACCTCTCCGAAAAATGATGTTTAGACTTGAGATGTAACAAACTCGGCCATTATGGATAACTCGTGAGTGATTTTTTGAACCGACCCGGATCTCTCTATTGGATGCATTCAACAAATCATAAAAAACTTGGGCATTAGGGTTTGAGACTTGATCCGTGTTAAATGGATTAAATGATGGGCTCGCTACATCCATCACCATTGTGTGATCTCGATTGGTCCGAGATTCATCAAATATTTGTTCGGGTTTAACAAAGCTTACCAAATTATCTCAATAATTAACCGACTCATTTTCTCCGTGACGTATTCAAACATAATACACTGGACACAAAGCCATATTTCATCAAATGGTACTTAACTATATCAAGATTTTTATAATTATGATTTTGACCTTTTTTAAGTTTATAAGGACATCTTATCTTATTTTCATTCATACACTCTAGATGACTAACGATAAAATTAATAAATTCATTAATCTCATCTATGAAATGTCTGGTTTAAAAGTCTATCGATTAGTCCATAGTCAATCTATGAATTATTCGAATTAATTTTAAACTAAATGTAATTATTTTACTTATTAAATAGCTAATTTACTTCAATTAAAAAATAAAAAACTTGTTTAACAACTAATTAATTAATATTTTAATTAGCTACCGAATTAATTCTTCTAATCAATAATTTAAAATTTTAATTACAAAAGAATTGACTTAATTGAACAATTTAAAAAGGAAATTAACAACCAAATTAATTCAACTAACATGTAATTTTATATTTTTTAAAAAATAATAATAATTTAATAATAAACTAAAAAATTAATTAACTACCTAATTAATTTTTTAAACAATAATTTAATTACCAACTAATAGACTTAATTTAACAATTAAAAAACTAAATTAGCAAGCAAATAAATGAAACTAACACGTAATTTCATAATTTAAATTAAATTTTATTAATTTAATTATAAACTCATAATTTTCTTATTTAAATACCCAATTGATTTTTTTAAACACAAATTAAATAACGTAATTATAAAGTAATTGACTTAATTAACAACTACAAAACTTAATTAACAAACAAATAAATTAAAGTAATATGTAATTATATATTTTTTATATAATATTTAAATAATATAATTCTAAACTAATTTTCTTAATTAACTACCTAATTAATTATTTTAAACAATATTTTAAAATTTAAATTAAGAATTAATTATTTTACTTAATGTAACAAATAAAAAATTTTATTACCACCTATATATACAATTAAACTAACAAACGATTAATTTCGTAAAATAATTAAATAATTTATTTTCCCACAAATTTAATTAATGTTATTAGCACATAAATCACTTATTTAATAATTAATTAATTAATTAAACAAACACCTATGCAATTTTTTAAAAACAATTAAATTATTTAAATACCTATAATTTTACTTAATTTAATTAAAAAATAAATGAAACTTATTTAACACATAATTTATTAAACTAACACTTAAATAATTATTTAAAAAAATTAAATTGATCAACAAATAAAAAATACTTATAATAATAAAATAAAATAAACTAACTAACAATTAACCAATAAATCACTTATTTAACAACAATTAACAAATGAATTTTTAAATACCAACAAATAAACTTAATTTCATTAACAACTATATGAATAAAAATCATTTAACACATACTTTATTATACTAACACTTAAATAATTATTTTAACAAAAAATTAATTTAATTAACAAATAACAATTACCTATAACAACAAAATAAAATAAAATAACTAACAATTAACTAATAAACAATTAAAAACTAAATAAAATTTATTTAACTCATAATTTATTAAAGTAACACTAAATTAATTATTTTAAAAAAATAAATTGATTAACAAATAAAAAATACTTATAATAATAAAATAATTTAAAGTAAATAACAATTAACCAATAAATCACTTATTTAACAAGAATTAACAATTAATTTTTTTAAATACTAACAAATTAAACCGACAATTGACTAATAAAAAATTAACAACGGCAATTAATAATTAAACTAACTAACAACATAATTAACTAATAAATTATTAATAACAACAACAATAAACTATTACCAACAACAATTAACAATTAAACTAATAATTAACTAATAAATAATTAACAACAACAATTAACAAAAAAATAAATTATTCAAAAAAAAAAACTTAATAGGTTACCATAGAGGAGCTGTTGCCAATAAGGAGGAGGGGCTGCTGCCGCAGAGGAGCTGCTGCAATGGAGAAAAGAAGTGAAGGGAGGAGGAGGAAAGGAGAGAAAGAAGAAGAAAAGGGAGGAGGAGAGGGGAAGAGATGGAGGGGAAGAAGAAAACAAAAAGGAGAAGATTTAGAGGGAGTTGGAGACAAGATTGGGGGAGAAATTGGGAAGAAATTTTGGAGTGTGCAGCTGGTGGAAGGAGAGAGAAAGTTTGGGGGAACAAGATTCGAGCAATAGGTTTTAGGGATTAAGTTTTTTAGTGACGATTTTGATCCCATCTCTAAAACTATCGCTAATGAGCTAAAATTTTTAAAATATGACCGTTTTTCCTCTAATAATAAAAAACTAGCGATAGTTCTCTAAAAGCGTCACAAATTTTCTCCCCAAATTGCTTTGGAAAATTAGAGGATTTAGCGACGGTTTTCATTAAGCGTAGCTAATTTTCCTCGAAAACAAGAGATTTTAACAACATGTTTTTTAAACCATTGCTAAAATCAATAAATTATTTTGGAATTAACGATGATTTAGTTAAATTATCGCTAATTCCAAATTAATTACTTTGGTTAGTCACCGGTTCACGTAAACCGTCGGTAATTTTAGTCTTTTTTTATCAAATTAGCGATGGTTTAAGAAACCATCACTAAATTCTATTTTCAAAACGAAATCATCTATGGTTGTATGAAAACCATCGCAAAAAATTGTTTTTTGCGGGATTTTTAGTTCGTCACAAAAATACCCTCGCTAATCGCAACGTTTCTGGTAGTGAACATGAATGAGAAATGAGATAATTTTGGGGCCTAGATTTATGTTCAAACAAAACCAAAGCATAAACCTTGAAGGGATGATAGTATGAGATTTTAATCAGTTGCAGCAGCTAGAGTGGATTTCCATTATAGTTCACGTTTTAAACTACTCGATAAAATTGCAGTACAGGTGGCCAAGGTAACAGACTATTCTACCACTTCTCTAAAGTCCATCCCAATAAACCCCAACCAAGCCCACTTTTACATGATCAAATCAGGAACTTAAAAAACCCACATTGCACTACTCAGCAAAGGCTCAACCTTCTAGCAAAGCTTTTGAACCATATAGTAGCCAAAAACCAGCAACAACTGGTATTACTATACTAGTTCAGAATGACAAACCTGGTCCTTCACTATCTGTTATTAAGGCAACTACTAGAAAATCATTGACTAATCACCTGCAAGCTAATAAACAAACGACAGTGTACTTAATGATGAAAACAATGGCCGGACAATATTAGAGTTGGATGAAACAGACCGTATGTCTGATATGAGTGATTCCACTAATGCAGAGGATGTTTAATTGGGAAAGGGGTTATCCAAGGAGGTGAAGTGAATGAGATTAGTCTACCAATTGATAAATCACTTGATAGATCTACTGCTTCCAGGAAGAAGAAGAAAGAGCCTTATAAACTCACAATCGCCAAACGCAAAGCAGCTAGCAAGGTTTCCTGCTCTAGTCACAATGAGAGTGCTAAATTAAAACTAGTCATGTTAGCATTCACAAGAGAAGGGTATGTTTTACGACTCCGTTTGTTAGGTTTAAGTCCTCTAGTCCAATTTTTTAGGTTTAAGTCCCTATTCTACTTTTCTTCCTTTATGATTCCAATGAAAATCATCTTGTAGAATTGTCAGGGTGCTAGACATAAATTATTTAAAGCTACTTCTTGTGATTTAATTAAACTACATAATCCTAAAATTCTAGCTACCTTTGAGCCAAGGAGCAGTTATGTCCTAGTCTCCTCTATCATCCCATAGAATTGAAACTAAAAGTTTTTCTGGAGGTACTTGGTTACTTTGGCATGATATTAGTGTGTCGGTGGTTGTTTTAGTAAGTCATAAATAGTTCATGCACATAAGGATTTTGAGGGTATGCTCACCCTAGGGGACACATACAACTCTACTATGGAAAGAATCACGAAGAACTGCTAAAAATGCTACTACGCCGTGGGTTTAAGAACGAGACTTTGATGCAATGACGTATAGAGTAGAAAAGAAAGAATGATATGGCTTCAACGAGTACAACAACATTGTACTCTCTTCTTATCTAAATGATTATGGTTTACTTGATCTGATATTCACAGGACCCTTATACACTTGACAAAGAGGTAGAGTTCAAAAACGTATTTATCCATGATTTGAAAAAAAAATTCCTTGTTTCTTTGATCTATAAGTAATTTGCATTCCCACATCCCTATGGCAATGAAGGCGTATAACCTCGCTCAAAAAATGGGGGAAAAAAATCTAAAAAGGCCCCAAAAGTTTTTGAGTTTGATTTAATTTAAGAATATCTGATGAAGTCCTACATTGCAATGCTGGAATGCACAGATGATAATAATAATAATAATAATACTAAAACAAAAAAATAAAAAAGTGCGCTTGTTTCAATCACAGATCTCCCTCTTGAACAATACCTTATTTGGAAGTCCAGTTCAATCTAGTTTAGTTTCTGTTGTGTACAAGCAAACTTCGACCAGTTTACATTCTACCATGTAGACACCAAAGGGGTATTTCCATTTGTTACTGAAGTCGGCAGGTTGGTGTACAGAAAACCTTCTTTTTGCCATTTCTTCAAGCATCGTGACCAACATTCACTTACTTCAGTCTCGCAAAGATAAGATCAATGTCCAAACTCATGCAGTGAAGCCTTTGATGCAGCAGCAACCATTTAATTGCTAGTACCTCAAAAAATTATCATAAGCCATGGAGCGCAATATGTTCCTCCCATCTCATGTATAGTTTGAACATTCGATAATTCATGGAACTTTTGGAAATGATACAGTTAATGTGAGCAGTGGATGTTGAATTCTACACACCCTTCAAGTTCCTTGGACAAAGCAAAATGATAGAAAACGACTCAAATTCGTAATATGCGAGTTAATTTGTAAACCTGTTGAAGAGAAATAATCGTTTGGTCACACATCAATAATCCCTGCAAGATCAACTGTTATTTGGTTTAAAGTAAACAACAATCATAAGAGGACAATTCGTTAGGTGGCAGGATTTTTGGTCTTCCAGGTTTATTATAGGTAGTAATGAGATCCATGAATGAATTTGTAATTAGAACACGAAGAGCAGAAATGGCACAAGGCGCTACAGCTTTGATTTCAAATGCAACAGGAACCCCAATACACCATTTTAAACATGCAAAAGTATTGTCATTCGCACATGCAAAAAAAAAAAACACTGGAAATAGCTAAATGGATCTTCTGTGATGAAGACATGAGAGCATAAACGTTAATAACCATCGTATCAATTTATTACAGCTCTAACCAAGTTTAAGCAATATGCATGACCCTCAATTTGACAAGAAAGCAGAGTCAAGATTTGGTTGCTACCATTTCCAGGTGTTAACGTTAGAGAGTAGCGCTCAATTCAGAAGAACTTGTATTTTGAATAAAAGGGGAGCCACTTGATGATCATAAAAGATGAAGCAAATTCAAGCTTTCTCCGGTTAATGTGGATGGGATGGTTTGCATGTGCATGGTTTAAATATGGATGAACTGTAAAACAGATTTGGGTTCCTGGCATAAATGCACATTGATGATTAGGAACAAAAACCTAGTTTGACACTATCAGTTGCTAACGATTCTTCTGTGCTTGTTCTTTCTACATTATCTATTAATAATTAAAGCAATAGATTAGGTGGTCTAAAGTCATTTGATATAGGTTTAGGCATCCGAAACAGTGAAAAAGAAATCAAAATGAAAGGCAAAAATTTCCATAAACAAATACCAACCTGAGCAGTCCTACTAGGCAGGGGCAGTTCTAAGCAGTTTCGGAGGCCATCAGCTCTGCACATATATGGATGGAAGTAATAAAATTATAATTTTTTTTTAAAAAAAAAAAAGGCAAAGAAACAAAAAGGCAAAATAAAAAGAGGAAAAAACGTTTTTATACAAGCATAATCTTGAGAATGCCAAAGATTTGATTGAGTCTGATTTGATTTGATTTAGTTTCCTAGTTTCTACCTATAATTAAGAGCTATAAATGTAGATTTGTTCAATAATCTAAATTAGAGAAGTTAGAATGTGATTAGCTGATTTCCTGTTCTAATATGGTCCCTCCTATAAAAAGCATTGTAATATCAGAGTTGTATAATATAGAACGTTTTTCTATCAATTCTACACAAAAGACCCGAAAGAGGAATGGTTACTTTTTGCTGATGGTTCTTTGAAGGTATTGACGAGCATCTACAAGTCCCTGACCTCCATACTTCTTTTCATCAGTATTTAGTACGATCTGCAACATCAATATAAGTTAAATAAGAAAAAAACATTAGTTGAACAGCCGTATCAGCATATTAGGTGTGTTCATGAGGGGGAGTGGCACGAACTAAAATATATTTGGTACTGCTAAGACCTGTAGTTTCCATATACACACTTGATGCAAGCACTAAAAAGCTATAATCCTCTAAACAACAAAAAACTGCGAGCATCATATCTGACCAATGAATATAACTATAAAATGGGCATCAGCCATCACTTACTTGATACTCTCCAGCTTCTTCCACACCTATACTGTATCTTTCATATGAATCGGTTGGATGAAAGTTGAATATAAAGAGGAGAGGGCCTCTTATGTACGATATTACCTGTAAATAGCAGTGAATCATCCAATTAATGAAAATATTATACTACTTGCCATGCACCAAAATATACCAATAGCTAATACAGAGCGAATCACTCTATTAATACCACAAAATGTCTGTTGGACTACGGCTAGTATCTTTGTCTCAAACTTTGCCCATTTTCTAATTTGAGTTCTAAAAATGATGTTTTGAGTGTCTGTCATAAAAAAATTAGCAAACCTAAGGTGATTTATACATGTTTGGACATTCTGATTCTGTGTAGTTTTACAACAAAGTAAGCTTGTAAAAATGGCGAAGGAAAATTTTTTCAAGTTTTGATACATACATATGCACATGGACATGCACAAAGTAATTGTATGGAAAGAAAGTACACCCATACCATGGTAGTGTCATTCACATGGTGAATGTGTGGTAAGCCCGTTGAAAGCAATCTGTTATTTTCATCCAAATTCATAAGGTCCTAGAACACAGGGAAAGTAAATTATATTGGTAGCACAACTATTAATGTATTTGTAGCCCAAAACCAAAATAAAAAATAAGATTTAACAAAAATAATTATGCACATGTTATATTAGTACATATATGGTGCAAAAAAATTGGAAGTTTCACCTTCCAAATCTAAGCATAAAGCAGTACAGCATAAACCATATTATATGAAGGGATAAAATGGATACCTTATCAAAGGAAAATAAATTGTTATGCAATTCTCCATTTGACAGAAGATGCCAACAACGATGAGCAAGCGAATATGAGAAGTTGTTGCTTGGCATTGGGAACTCGACCCTCTACCACAGCGAAAATTAATAAACACAAGAACTAAACTCTTAATGGCATTTACCCCACAACGGAGATGCTTCACCTAGCCAATATATAAAATGAAAATAAAAAGAACAAAAGCCAAAATCTCACCTTGGGATGCCCAAATTCATTGCCCATGAAATTGAGGTAAGCACGCCCACCAATTGTGTAGGTAATCATTCTGATCATCTAGGTCAAGATGAATAAAACATATTGAACCAAACACTTACGAAATGAAAATGACAGAGGAAAAGAGAACGGAAGTAGATTTATGCATGCTGTACCCACATAAGGGAAAATCTTTTGCTGCCATGCAGAAATGGGTATTTACTCATTCTCACTTAAAAATGCCATTAAAAGAGCTGAAGCTGATTAAACTCTGCATATGCGAAGGTGTGGCAACCCTTACTTTGTGTAGTGAATATCCTCTAAGCAAAGATTCTGTTGAGCCTGGAGTGTACTCGTTGATTTCACCAAACAATATCTCTGCAAATGACTGCCCTCCAGAGATAGACTGACATGCAAAACATTTTAATAGGATGTGGTCAATATTCAAACATGCATACAGTAAAGTCCCATGCAATGATTTGAGTTAGAACAAAGATTTATCAAAAGGATTATTACTTGGTTATGATTTTCGGCATATATAAGCATCTTATCAACATATTGCCTATTGCCCATTAAAGCGCTGACTATCTGCAGTATAGAAGCAAATTTAGTAAATGTTCACATTAAAAAAAAAAAAAGAAAAATCAACAGCGCACCTTGCTCATGCTCCATTCATGATCTGGAATATTCTTTAGAAAAGACGACCACATCTCTGGTGCAGAAAGGTTGACATAATAATCAAATCCCAACCCCCTTGTGAAGTAGGCTCACAAAGTCCAGGATAAAATGTTGCCTGAGTGACAAACAAACAGAAATTTTTATGAGCCATATAATTTTATTTGAAGTGAGCTCAGCTAAATAATTAGAGCTAATTTTTTCTAGATAGCAACACAAAGGCCTTGAGATACAATTACCAATTTCAATAAAAATACAGACTCAATGAAGATTGGTAATTGTGTCTCAAGGCCCAAACAAGAGATTAGAATGTGGTCCGAACAAGAGCATGCATAGTCAAGCAATTTTCACTGCTTTCAGTAGACTTCATTGCATCCAAACTTTTTATTTACACATATAAGAGTTAATGCTTGCGCAAAAATGGTTAACACATGGGTTCTTCTTCTTCTTCTTCTTTTTTTCCTTGTTTTTCCTTCTTTTCTTTATATCCATGATAGCATTTATCTTACTATCCATGTGGAAATTTTTGCCATATTTGACGAAAATTCAAAAAACTATCATAGCATGTTTCTGAGGGTTCTCCAACAACAGATATCAATTCATGCAAAAATTGACCAAACTAGAGACATAGGATGCAAATGGACTATTCCATTTTGCCAATCAGAAATATGGCTACAGAATAAAATTAATGTTATTGTTCTACCAACCAATGAGCATTCAAATCCACAATTAACAAACTCAAAACAATCTCCCCCACAACAAGCAACAGAGCACACAGAAGAAATTGCATTGAGCCCTACCACAAAATTGGACCCTGTCACTAAGGAATGATTAGAAGGAACTTCCTAAACTGGAGATCTATATAGTTGAGCAGAGACTGACATTACATTCACATGGAGATGGTGAACCACTAAGTTTTTATGCAGTTTAGTATCATGAGAAGTGTCTTCCAAAGAAATAAACAGGGATGGCCACAATAGTAAACTGTAAATAAACCCAGGTTACCTACATCTTCAGCAATTGTTACGATATCAGGATGAAGAGTATGCAGTAGCTCATTTGCCAAAATGAGATACAAGAATGCATCCTTATCAACATATTGATTGCAGTACCTGCAATAAAACAAAACTTGTTTCAAAATAAGCCACAACCATGAGCATACACTGCAAAAAGCTTGAAGAACAGCTGATACGAAATTAAAACTAGTGACACAGATAACTTAACAAAACCTAGACTTTGAGAAGCACTAAAGGCCTTTTAAAAGGATCGTTTTCCTTAATAATAGTTGCTCTTTCTATTTGTACAGCTAACCCAAGGCTCCAATTGCGATTAGTTTCCAATGCATTTGTACCATGTCAATTTTTATGCATTTTTACAGAGCGATTATTGCCATTCACTCATCTTAGACGCAACTTATATGATTTGGATAAGCACAAAAAAATAAAATAAAAAAATCATCTATAATTTGGATTACAGAACAAAACCTAGCTTCAGTGACCTATTCAGAGGGTACAAACACAAATTGGGGGGCAGATTTGATTAATTGAGAGGACTCTAGCCATATTTGGGAAATTAAATGTTCCTAAAAAGCAAATAAATTATGAAAGCAGTTAACAGATATGTGGGAAGAAAATGAAATTAAACTTAGGAAATGAAGATTGACATAACAGAGCCTTACTCTTCCAGGTCACCTGTAAAAGAAGCAAAACCATTGTGCGTGTACATCATTGATGAGAGTGAATGGAACTGGAAACCATCTATGTGATACTCCACAACCCACCTGCTCAAAGATAATATCTTAAGCAATGCCATGAATTACATACAAGAAAAGTAAATGATGCAATACGTTTCAAGAAATATCAGCCAACAGGAGATACTATAAAGAAACAGAATTTTTGAAGATTTCTTGTATTTCACATTTACCAATTCAGATTCGAGAGTAGATATTGTAATACTTCATGGTCACCATATTTGAACATTCTAGTACCCCAATATTTGTGAACTCCTCTTTTACCTATTCAAGAAGGGAAAGTTAGACATGGAATTAAAATAGTATGTACGTATATAACAGGAGAAGACAGGCTCGTGGAGCAGTTTTCAAGATCAGCATGCCACCTTTGACTACTTCAGTGTATCACAGAAACATATGTGAACAGAAGAAAATTCAATTAACACCACATAGAAACAGCATATTGCCCATAATTAAATATGACTCTTGAATACGTCCTTTCAAGAAAAGCTCCATTAAATACTTCACACATGGAGAAGAAACACTACTAAAATCTTCAGCGAAAGTGTGCTGCATCCTCTTAGAACATTAATTGTTTGTCCTAATAAAGCAGGTAGATCATGCAGATTAAAGAAGTAAAACTAAAAGCAGGATACACAGACAAGTCTTGATTTGGACATGAAATAGATTTTCGATCAGAAACATGGACTGAGATTATTACTCTTTGATGTTTGCTACTTAAATTAGGTCTACAACTGATACAAAACAATACAATGTAACGTCTTTCCCATGATTTTGAGTATATAAACTACAACTCAGCTATATATGACCTTAGGTTTTTGGTAAAGGCATTGTCATGAATATATGCATGGATCAATGAACAGCTAGAAAGAAAAGTTTTCTCAGCCTGATTTATCAATGGTAATTGTTCAGTGCATGTTTGAATTCATTGGCTGAGGTGGATGTTTGTGCTGATTTACTAAGTATTTCGGGAATTAAGCAGAGCTTTTTGTCCCTCTCTGAAAATGAAATATTTGGAAAGGCTTATACTCCTAATGGATTCCTTGTGAGATATGAAAAACTCTACTTAATTAGGACCCATATCTTTGAATAAAATTGGAATGATACATAGAAGATTAGCTTCGCCCTTGCACAAGTATGACATGCACAAAATGAGAAATTAACATCAGAGTTGGCATTCCTAATCAGGATTCTATTTCAAACTTATAAATAGAGACCAGCTACCTATAATCTGATCATCATAATAGACTATGTAACTTTTCTTTCAATTCATTGATTCTATTTCACAGAATTTCAAGGAGTAGAGTTAACTGGGAACACTGAATATACAAGTTCATCACACTGCTCTATTGAGAGTACAATAGGAAAAATTAACTCTGTTCCTAGATTTCTTGCAAAAACAACATACAATGTCAGGGACAGGTACAAGGAAATTTGCTTGACAACTCTGCTTTATGGAACGTTAAATCCTAAGATGACCACCAACACTGCCAGCCTCTAGATTGACAAGGTACATATGCTTGTACAGGTGTTTAACTTTTTGAATGTATCCTGCTATGTGCTGATTTAACCTATGATCACTTTAAGTCATAATAATACTTCTATATATAGAGTCCAAATCATATTTCCACTAGACGAGAGGTTAGTTAAACAAAAACCTCCCTGAGACCACCTTACACACATACAACACATATTGCAACCTCCCCATCTCCCACCAGCAACTACATGACAGCAGCACAAGGCTGGATTAGTTAAAGCCAAATAAAACTAGGAAAAAGAAATAGGCTGATCTTCATTTTTCTGCTGACAAAGAAAATTAGGCCTAACAGCTTCTTTATAAGCATAGATAAATATTATGCGCACTGCAAGGCAAGTTATTAGTTGACAACTCATTCTAAGATGCCACGTTACACAGAAACAGAAATAATACTCTTACAAGTGAAAACATGATGAATTTCACTTCAAGCTAATTAAGAAGCTGGAAGGCAAACAGAGGTGAGAATCATATTGCACCAATTGTATGATCAGTTTTACCAGTGTGAAAGTAGCAATCATTTGATCCATCAAATAGTGATAGCCCAACCATCTCATCTGCAGCTGAGTAGGAGTGAACAATGTCTAAGAACACCAGCAGTCCCAGTCCTGTAAAACGGAAAGGCCCAATGAGAGAGCATCAGCTGAAAATTAATAAATGAACAATAAAAATGATCAATCTGTATGTTAACAGAGAGCGCTTGTGCCAAAAAGAGATAAGAAAAAATAAGCCTAGATGAATATTGAAGTTAGAAGTCAAAATTTTAAACACTTCTGTATTCAAGAATTGATATTTGGTTATTTGGGGATTATTTTCTGTTCATAAACACAGTGAATTAAGAATTTATTTCATATATACATCCACTCTCATTGTATCATTAACGGCCAAGAAACAAGTTGTAAATCCACACATCATAAGAATTTATACCAGATGATACAAGACCTTTAGCCTTCCCACTGTTCCTTCACACTAATAAATGCAATATGAGATTCCATGCAAACATAGTTATAATATAAGCAATGGTAACTGCAACCAATCAGTCCCTTGCTAAGCATAAATGAACTGCTTAAAGTTTAATGAATCAAATGAATCAGTATCAGATAAGGAATGATGACCATGTGCTTCATCAACCAAGCGTTTGAAGTCATCAGGAGTGCCATATCGGCTGCTAACCGCATACAAATTGGTGACCTGCATTGCCATATAGATGCTTGCTCATCATTGAACAATGAAAAAATGCACCCAATGGATCCAGGCATGCAAACATGTTTCAAGATTATGAAACCAGTAAACTCTGGAAACAAATTTAAGAACACTAGTAGATGGGCCAGTTGTAAGATATACAAGTAAAAATGAATATATTACATCTGTAACATGCTCCATGTACATAACACAATTAAATAATCAAGAGGTTGTGATAGCAATTAGCATTGAATATATTATGAATGTAACATGCTCCATTTATATAACACAATTAAAAAAAACAAGGGGTTGCTGTCTAAATAAACAAGAGGTTGTGATAGAAATTAGCATTCACATGCAATTATTCTTATGGGTTTCAACTTCATTTCCACTGGTAATGGTTATCATGCAACTTCGCTTCATGTTCTACAATCTCCAGTCTTAAAAATAATTACATACCACAGTCCAGACCCAGCTATTAAACCATTAGAAATGGGATTTGAACCATTCAGATTTTACAGCATCCTGTAAATCCAAAACCTGCTAATTGATTAGCAGATACCTTCTGCTGTCACCGTAAAGGTACAAATTATGGATATCAACAATTCAGGGAAACTTAGATTCTCCAGGATATTCAATTTTAAATAAGAGACAGTGTGGGAAGAGTATTTGACTCACCCGATAGCCAACAGTGAAATAATCTTTGTGTTCAACAACTCCAATCAACTGGATTGCATTATATCCAGCTCCCTTCACATGAGGAAGGACCTATCATGAGAAAAAAAACATAGGGAAGAACAGAATGGAACCCATATTAGTCTACGCACAAAAATAGATCAAGAAAGCAAAACACGAAGATTTACCTTCTCAGTGAAATCAGTGAAAGAAGATATTTTTGGCTCTGAGCCACTAATACCAACATGGCACTCATATATACGCAAGGACTTCGGCACTTTTGGGGGTGTGTTTTTCCATTTGTAAGCATGCTCTTGGGCTGGTTCCCAATGGATGGCAAAAGCTTCATTCCCGTTTGTATCTGATGATCATGAACAAAGTTCAGATGAAACATTAATAACTAATACATGCAGACTATATAAATATGCACTAAAGAAGAGTAGAAAATTTGAAGACAATGGGAATATTCCAGAAAAAAGAATGAGGCACTAAGATTTCAAGCAAGCAGGATAATACTGGCATATAGAGAAATCCTATCAAAGAGAAGCTGTTTCTGCTTACATGTCCCAAGTAAGGGAACCAATAACAACAACTGGGAAAGTCAGGCGATCTTTAAGAACCCAAATTAATCATCAATGATGAGAGAGGTTGAAAGGCAGACAGAAGTGGGGAAAGGTCTTGTCCAGAGATATACATTGAGAGGGCCATGTAAATGGAAACTAAGTCCCATGTTTTCCATAAGGTGAAAGATGAAACACCACCTTCGACACTAAGTCTTGTTCTGTACATGGTTTTTCTTTCAGGAACAAAGAGCAGTGCTTGTAGTTCTGGGAGCTACATACATATGCAGGGTGAAGATAAATGATCATGTAAATAAAGTTAATTTCCATTCAGCTAACATCACCGTCAACCTAAGAGTACCTTGATGCTTAATTAACAAAGTTAAACAGGATTTGGTGCTGTCAGTAAAAATTATTAGAAAAGCAACAAATTAGTAGTTGAATTGTTTACCTGGTTGCACATAAGTAGCCCAAGCAGGCACACGTTCCAGTGGTCCACTAGGAGTGTTAAAATAGACCCTATATTTGCTTCCATGAGGAATAGCTGGGGTGTACTTTTTCAACCATGCTTGCCTTCCTTTACGTGTCTCAAACCAATAAGGCAGGGGAGGCTTCTTAGCACGAATTTTCTCAAGCCATACAGGGTCACTTTTGATATTATATATATCATATTCTTTTCCTTCATCAATCACCATACAAGGAGGTAAGTTACTCGGTGGATCATCTTTATGTTGTTTTTTCCATTCATTGTATCTTGTTTCTGCATCCAGCGGTCGCATGTCTTCCAAATCTTCTTCTGTCTGAGGTCCATTAGGGCCAAATAATTGCTCATATAACTTAGCAGGCACATCAAAACGTCTGTTTACAAAAGTATCTTCTCCAGGTTCCCAGTAGTCATCATTTGCTTTCTTGAAGATTTCTTCAATACTAGTAACCCCACTGTCACCTTTATCATAGTCATCCACATAATTATACTGCTGAAAATAAAGTTCATCTGGTTTTAATCCATCCTTGAGTTTATCTTCAAGAATAATAAACCAATAGCCATAATCATCGTGACCAAAATGACCCTCTCTCGCAGAGTTTTCCGTGGGTGACCACCCATTAAAGTCACCAACTAGTGAACAGTAGCGAGCACCTGTATCCAATCCACCATCCTTTAATATTTTTCAATTTCATCCATCAAGACAAACAAACAACAAGTTGAAAATTTATTACTTTTTTTCTTTTGATGAATTCAGGTAGAGCTATCCAAGCGGAAAGTTGTAAGATAAAGATTGATGAAACGGAAAATTCAATTAGTAGTAGTAGTAGTAGTAGCAGCAGCAAATGGCAATGAATGGAATGGAATGTGGTGTGTGAATTCAATAACCTGGTGCCCAATCCATGAAATCCATCCGATGCTCTGGGTGACGATGCAAACCCATAAGCTCAAATCTACACAACAAAAGCCAAATGCATTGATCCTGGTTGGTTTAAGCTGTTAGGGAGAGAGAGAGAGAGGGTTAAATGAAAGGAACCAAACCCATAAGCAATGTCCTTGAGCATAAGGTTTCGTTTGAAGAGTTCATCTTTGAGGTCCTTCAATGATTTATGCCTGCAAACAATATTGAATATTTGTTAAAGTAAAAAAGAAGGAAAAAAAGAAAAGAAAAAGGAGGGAGAGAGAGAGGAGTTAATTACGTACGTACCTTTCCCTGAGAAAATGAGCAAACTGTTTATGAGAAATGCCAAGTCTGGTGAGAAACCCAACTGGGTTTGTCCCTTTTTTCTCTTCGTCTTCTTCTGTTTCATCACCTTTCTTTTTCTTTTTCTTCTTCTTATTATTATTATCCAAGTCTTTCTGTTGTGATGTTGAGGCTGTGCATTTTATTATTCTGACTTTTCTGGAGAAACTTAGGGTAGTATGAGGTTTGTTTTGAAGAAAGAATTTGTTCAAATAGAGAGATTGACATTGACACACTTTGGTTGCAAACACTGAGGTTGAAGCTGAGAGAGTGTTAAGCGATGAACAAGTAGCCACCATGTTCAGCAATGTCAACCGTCTGCACCGCCCAGACACCCAGAGAGATGGAGCGAGTGCTTTTGGGGTTTTAGATAAGAACAAGAGGCTTTTCTTTTGAGGTTTTAGAAAATGAAGGAAGAATGAAAATGAGGCTAAACTCATTATTTCAACCTTGTATTTTCACTAATTTATCGAAAGAGTCCTTCTATTACCGTTTCGGTCTACAGATGGCAACGGTCCACATACCCTTCCTTACTCTATAAAGTTTTTCAATCAGATCCTACATGTTAATTTTATATTTTTCAAATTTATGATTTGAATTATTATCATCACATTCCTTTCATTCTAGGTATAATATTGTCACTCACCTCAACCATTACAACCCTCCTCGTTGCTAATTGTTTTGTCAATCTCTCAAATTAAATGCAATTGATTGAAATTGAAAACACAAAGATCCAATTGATCTAAGAGATAATAGATGGGTTTTTCTTATGAATTGGTGAAAACAGAGTGTAAATAAAAAGTTTCACCTTTAAAAATGAATAAACCACTAGTATTTGTTTTTAATTGTTAAAGGCTTCGAACAAACCTCAAATTCTTGAGATAGTCCATTTTTTTTAGCTATGTTATCTTTACACAATTTTAATTTCTAAATTAAAGATTTTTTAATACAATTATTTAGTGGAAAACATCAAGTTCCCTATAAAATAACATTTTTTCCTATATACATCAAGTTGACACTAGTCTTTTAGAGGGTTTCACTGCATCAATAACGGTGATATCAAATGACAATCAAATCTTGCACAATCCAAGTACCAAAAAATAATTTCTCACTTCTCTTTTTTCTCTTCTCTTCTCTTTTCCATTTTTTTTTTTTTTTAGACTCTCCCTCTCTCTATCTTTTTTTCGTATATATAATTATGGAAGGTCTTTTTTTTGTATATATAATTATGGAACCCCCACCCCCTCTCGTGCAATTGCCAAAGGCCATGTTAGTGGCCCTTGGTGCAAATGCATAGCGATTGTTTTGGCAATTGTTGTGCAGTTGCCAAAACAACTAAAATTTAATTTGTTTTTTTCAATGATTTTGTCGTGGAGTCCTTCATAGATGACCTAACCCAAACTCCTTTTTTTCTTTAAATAAAAAATAAAAAAAAATCTCTCACTCATATAACAATTGCCAAAACAACTGTCGTAAAATTAAACACTTATCCATAGTTAGTCTCGGTAGACAATATATTAAACCAAACACTACAATCCAAGTGTTTTCTATTATTTCATTATGTTTGAATTTTATAATCCAAGTGTTCTTTGTTATTTTATTCTATTGTACAATTGTATTTATCTTTTTTTTCCTTCACATACACACATATATAGGTTTAATCGCATCAAACGTCCCTCTACTCTTGACATTTTCTTAATGGGATCCCTATACTTTTTTTTTATTTAACCCCTTCATGTACTCTTCAATTTTTCTTAATGTAGCCCCTCCAACTATTTTTCGATCAAAACGAACGAGTTGGAATAAAATCATCCACGTGGCATGACACGTCATATTTTTTGCCACGTGGAAAAATTAAAAAAATAATTTTATTTTTTTCTCCTCCCTCTCCCTCTCCCTCTCTCTCTCCCTCTCCCCCTATCTCTATCTCTATCTCTATCTCTATCTCCTCTGTTTCGATAAAATATTCCCTAGAGTAGTGATTTTCTACACGAGTAATGATGATGGTTATGATGCCGCAACAACGGATGTACTTACCGGCATGGATCAAGCGATTAAAGATGGTCCGGACATCATGTCATTGTCCTTGGGATTCTTTGAGATACCATTCTATGAGAATCAAATAGCCATAGAAGCATTTGCGAGTGTTGAAGAAAAGGATATTTGTTACATGTTCTCGCTGGAAATACAAGGCCTCATGGATACACCATGCTCAATGGAGCTCCTTAGCTCACTACTCGTTGGTGCCGAATCATTGACCGTCAGTTTGGAGCTAAAGTCACGCTAGAAAATAGCTCAATTACCATCATTAGAACATCTATTTATCCTATAAATTAGTTTATTTTTCGAGTTCCTATATACTTTGGACTTGGAAATCGAAGCAAAGAAGTTTGTGATTGGAACTCCTTGGACCCCAAAGACGTCGTAAGCAAGTTCCTTTTCTATTACTATAACAATGAGTCATCATAGTTTCCATAGATGTCCGAAAATGATCGATATGGGCTAGACATTATGTTAGGTGTTGTTTGATAAAACTAAAAATTAAGTGCTAAATATGTTAAATATTGAATTTTAAGTGCTCGAACAATTAAGTATTGAATATATTGTTAACAAATTGTTTGGTATTTACCGAAAATTAAGTGATGAGTATAATAAGGTTGGTAGATAAGTATTGTTGCTGAACATATTAAGGTTATATATATGACAATTTTAAGCTCGCAATTATAACATGATATTTCTTAATACAAATAAATATATATACATAGATATATTTGTATGTATAAATAAATAAATAAACATTTGTACTCTTTATTCTATCAAACACCCTTCTACCCATATCAACTTTATTAATCCTCAAATACATAGCCATCAAACAACATCCTAAATGAAATTCCAAACCCTAACCCAATCCGTTTCTCATTGTAAACCCATGAAGCTCCCTCCTATAATCCCTTCTACCCATATCCCTATTATACAAAGTCAAAAAACATGAAACTATAAATACATAAGGTTTTAACCCCTCAATTTGCATATCTTTAACAAAACCTAACATCTCCTTATCCAAATTATGATCCCCCGAATTTGCATATCCTAATACAACAATTTTTCAAGAACCCACATATAAAAATCGATACCCATTAAAACTAGAATTCAATTAAAATTTAATATTAGACACATGTGGGAAATATTTTAAAGGTATAAAATAATCTTTAAGGGCTTGAAAGAATATCTAGAATAGTTGAAATAGTTTTTTATGCTTAATGAATATTTTATTAATTTTTATGATACATGAATAGTAGTTTTTGTATGAAATAATTGTTTGGATCATATTGCATATGCATGACAATAATTTTTTTCACTTAGAATATTTATTAGATCAGTTTTGAATTATTTTCCGTGATCGAGTGAATTTTCTTATACGTTGTGAATATTTTATTTTTTATGTGTACAAATAGTATTTTTGAGGTAGAATAATTAAATTAGGCTCTTAGAAGGTATGAGGAATTTTTTTTTTTTAGGCATAGGAAAATCATTTGGGATGTGTAGGAGTATCTAATAAATTTAAATTAATTTTCCTATATACAAGGAATATTTCTTATAGGAAACAGATTAATTTTTATACTAAATAATTAAGTTAAAGGCCTAAATGAGGTTATAAAAATTATATAAATTACGATTAAATTTTTTAATAAATTATTGAATTTATTCTGAAGAGAAATTGAATTTTTGAAAAGTATAGAATAAAATTTTAGAATTAAAGGCCTAACCGCATAGAAATTAAGGACCTAATTGCATAAAATTAAAAATTTAAATTTCTAAATTAAATTAGCCATGAACCTAAGGAGTTTAAAAGTTGTTAATTTACCTTTAAAAGAAGAACCTAAAGTGGTCGATTGAAAAATTAAGGGATGCTTGGGTGAGTAATTAGAGAAAAGATTAGTAAATTGAGGGACTAAAATTAAAAAAAAAATTGGACACTTCTCCACCCTTCCAGCAGAATTTTGCTGCATGATTAGGGCCTAATTAATGAACTTTGACTTACTTAAAAAGGAAAGGCTAAAAGAGATGCAAAATGGAGGGTTAGAAATTAAAGAAAAATTAAAGGTTAAAAACTTGTCCAATTGAAGGGCTATGATTAAAAGTTAATTTGAGGGCCAATATCGCTCCGAAACACAACAATTCAATGTTGAAGATGAGGTCAAAAGTCCGCCAAAACTTTGCCTATAAATAGGGATGCAAGGAATTATGAAAAATGCATGAAAAATAGCTAAAATCAAGGCAAATTGTTGCAAAATTTTCCTAGAAATTTCTATCCAAAAACCACTAAAACCACCTCCAAACATCTTAAATCAACTAACCAAGCAACGAAATCAAGTTAGGAGATCAAGAAATTATCAAGGAAAAATTTACAAGTTAGGTCGAATTTGGGGGAAAGAAGAAGAAGGAAGAATTTCTCAATTATCTCACTTTTGAAATTTAATTGGAGCTTATCTAGGTAAGTTAACTCCACCTACATCACAAGGGTTGTTTAATTGATATAAATTTATGGTTTATATAAACTCTTGTAAAATTTTCACTCAAAAATTACCCAAAATATTTTCAACCAATTTTAGGTAATCCGAATCGATAAATTAAACCTTAATTTGAAGTTGAGATATAAAAATTTCCAAGGAGAAATTTAGAGGAAATTATCCAAATTTAAGGAAAATAAGTGGAAGGAAAGAATTTACAAACAATCCAACTTTCCAATGACAAATTGGAGCTTATTTGTGTAAGTTAACTTCACCTACACCATAAGTAAGTTTAATTTCAAGTCAATTTTATGTTTGATGCTTCAATTTAAGTTTAATTGCATAAATTGTAAAAATTAGGGTTAGGGTTCTTAGTTAGGAAAAATTATAAAAAATGGTCCTAACATAAAATTTCATGAAATTGAAGTTAAATTAGGTTAATTGGACTCAAATTTGATGATTAAAAATAAAAAAATCTAGCGTTAGGAAGAGTAACCCATTCGGGCCAAAGTTATGATTTTAGGGTTTTTGGTGCTTTACTTGTTTTGATTGTTTATCAATTGATTATGTGTTAATTAGGTATGAATTGATGTTTAGAAATGAAAACTTACATTGAAATTGAAGAAAAATCCATTGAATTACTTAGGGAAACATTCGGCCTAAATCCCTAAATATTAAGGTTTTGATCATTTCACTTGATTCATGAATTATTGGTTAATTAGAAATTGAATAAGTATAATTTGATGAGTGGAAGTGCAAAATTCTAAGAAAGTTGAAGAAATTTACCTAATTTAGCTTAGGCTCAATTTTGGCTTATTAAGGCCCCATTAGGTTTTAAGCATGAATTTAACCTATAAATATCAATTAAATTTATCGTTAATGTTATTAAGTAATTGAATGACTTAGTATTAGAAGTTGGTGATGGGATG